ACAGGCTGCCCCGGGAAGTGGTTGAGTCCCCATCCCTGGAAGTATTTAAAAGACGTATAGATGAGGCGCTTAGGGACATGGTTTAGTGGGCATGGTGGTGTTGGGTTGACGGTTGGACTCGATGATCTTGGAGGTCTCTTCCAACCTTAATGATTCTATGATTCTATGATTATTTAGTTCTAATTATTAGACAGAAACAATGGTTTTTAGCTGAATGATGGAGCCACCAACACAAGATTTCTTAGAACTTGAAGGGCAGCCTTTAACATACAATGGCAAAATTGTACGACATGGCTGATAGAGCTGCTTTCTCCTTGCTGACAGACTTAGCAGCCACACAACTGTGTTCCTCCTTAACAGTCATCTACTAAAACCGCTGCTAATTTTATAACAGGAAAATCATTCTTACTTATCAAATAAATAACTTAAGAGCTTATGACACAGAAAGGAAAGATACAACAATTTTGCTCCCCCTCAGGATCCCAGTGGGGCCGTGGGCTTCTGGACTTGTAAGGACCAGAATTTGTTCACTGCAGAAGGCACACACACCCCCTTCTATCAAAAACAGGCATCGGGCAAAACTGTGTTTAAGAATGGCAGTTTCTCTATGAGCTGGGTAAGTCCACCCAGGGAATGTCAAGCCTTTTAATTTTTAAAGCTTCCCTCCCTCTTTTACCAAAACTGCTTGGGGAGACACATAAATGCATGACAGAAACATTACTGCTTCTCCTGAAAACATCCTGCTAAGCAAATTCTTCCATGTAAATGTTTAGAAAATTTCCCCTTGGAGCCTTGGTCTGGTAATATCTTCCTGCGTATCATCTCGTGTAAACTGAATTCACTGCATGGGAGCACAAAAGGTGCACAGACATCGAGGTGCTCCAGTAACGGTGACACTGGGGTTACCTGACATGATAAAACATAAAGGCTCCAGCCAGTAACGCTGGGGGAAAAGTGTCAGGCAGACATGAGAGGAGGGAGAGTCTATAGCACCAAGATTTAGATGATACTAAAAGCAGATCACGGGGCAGACAGCGTGAGGACAGAGTGGGCTAAGACTGAGGAAGCACAGGAAGATGGCTTCTCCCTTGGAGTCCCGGCAGAAACTGGTGTCATAACCAGTGCATGTGTGGAAGACAAGTGGCGCAGCTAGCTACAGATGCCAAAGAAGACAGATTATGGGTGAAGAGGAACCTCCTTCTATATAGTACTGGTATTGCAAAGCTCTAGTCTGGCAGGGGATTGTCTCATGAGATAAATGCTAACAGGGATGATGGTAATAGTGGAAAATAGGGGTGGAGGTGAAGTAATGCCGGTGAGTATTAATAATTTCAAGTTCCTACTGCCTAGGGAACTGGGTACTTTTAGCTAAAGGCATTGCTTATATTTGAGAAGTAAAATATCCTTCATTACAGTTATGTTTTTTTCTCTGTTAATTCCTTCGTGAGATTAATGACCGCCCTTTTACTTGCCACAATGTAAATCAACACCTGGTAATAGGTATTATGCATGGGTAGAAGTAATTGCAAATAAAAGGAAAATGTTCTTGCCAGAGAATTTGAAATGATGTACTGACAGTGACAAATAAGAAACTCTGCTGAGACTTGATCCACAATCCTATGAGAATGACTGAGAGTGCAAAGTCAAACTTCATCAACATAAGTGATGAATAAATTAGGAGCGTGAAATTTGCTACCTAAAAAAAACCGCAGCAGTACCTTAAATGCGATTATATAAATATACATAAATGCTCCCATTTTAGGAACACATGCTGAAACATGAGAAACCCCAGCTCCTGATGGCCTGTGCCTATCAGGAGAAATCATTTGACATGACAATAGCTATAAAATAAATGCAGGCCAAAAGTGTACATCTTTGATGAAGACATGCTAGGTACACACGCAACAGACCTGTCCCTGCACAGAACAATGCAGCCCTCGCACAACTCCGTTAAGACTACTCCCACAGCGTATGCCCACTGCTTGCCCCTGCAGGCAACCTTGTCACCTTATTTTGCTGTTACTTTTTAACATATTTTACTCTTACCTATTTTTGTTTCCGTTACTGAGCTCAGCTTTCAATATAGCACCTTGATTATTCTAAGTATCTCTACCTAATTTTGTACTTAGTTTAGCTTCGCTATTTTCTTTATTTTGCTGTTTTTTGAACATACTAGCAATTAAACATGAGTTGCCTATTGTAGACTTCAGAGCTGATAACTACTGCAGTGCCCATGCCGGGTAGGTGGGGCAGTGGGGAGTGAAGGAGAGAGGGAAGCAGGAGGAGAGACGCTACCAAAGATGTTTGAAACATCCTTGGTTTGCAGACTTCCTTCATATAACTGATTACAACACAGTTAATCTCTCTCCCTTGATCAGTGTGACTGGCTTAAAAAACTTATAAGCCTTTCAGACAACTATGACAACTCTCTTCCTTTTGTCAGAGTAATACTATTTGCTGCCAGTGGTAACACATTTTCCAGGCTTAACAAAAAAAAGAAACAACCTTGGAGGACATGGTAGAAAACCCTTTTCTACATGGACAGCTGTTATCTTCTGTGAATGAGGAATTTTTGAAAGGTATGTTCAGGCATAGCCTGTCTTTCTATGTAAAAAGTTCACTGGATACAGAAAATATTTATTACAGAAATGAAAAGGAAAACAAAAAGCTGAGATTTCTCTGTAAGTTATGCGGATGCGTCCATGATCCAGTAGTGGATCCAGTAGCGGCTGTTTTTCATGCGAGTGCATTCAAAAATGAGGCAGTGAAAGAGAGGCAAAAATATTGCCAGTTACAATTCTGTCAAAAAATGTGACTATATAGCTCCTTACACCAGTGTCACATGAGCTGCAAAGGTGAAAATTATAAACAAGTCTTGCTTTGTCATATACTTATGCTTGTGAAACTGCTTGCAAAGCTCCTTTCTCCCTGCGCGTTCTTGTGCTGTTAGTGTGGAAAAGCTGGGTATGATGTAAGGTTTATTTTTATTTTAGAGTTTAAATTGTGTCACCTGGATCATTCCTGTGACAGACTGTAAGCATTAACCCTTTCCTGCAGTGCCATTCTCTCCCAGAAGGCTGGTGCTGGCATCAGTGTGCCTTATTCAGTACCCCTGGGGAGCAGAAACTGCCAGGCAAAATGAAGGACAGTCCAGCTCCTTGCTGTGCTATGCTCCCTCTGCTCTCAGTGTGCTCCCTGGGTTTAATTCAGCTCCTCGCTAGTGGCAGGGGGGTTGTCAGACAGCACACCCCAGTGCCTCTTTTCCACATCCCCGGCTTGTTTTCAAACGGCTTTATTCCTTCCGAGGCCAGCTTTCAAAAGTACTGCAATAACACTCTGTTCTAAATCAATATTAAAGTATCATGATAACAAAACTAGCAGTTAACTTCTACTGAAAACAGTATCATTGTACTTGTAAGATGCAAAGACTGAGTTCAGTTACAAAGCAGTTAAATCCATCCATACCTGGAGGATCTTATCGCCAGGCTGGAGCAGGCTGGATGCTGGTCCATCAGGCTGAACCCTAGTAACAAAGATACCCTATAAGTCAGAAGTAACAGAGGTTAGGATGCTATCACCAAGAACTAGTTCCCAAAAAACAGGTGTCTCCCTAACTGGGAGACACCTAACAGGTGTCTGGGGGCTTTATATACTCTGGCATTGGTCCAAATACTAAACTTTTTTTAATCTGTTTGTAATCAAACAGTAGGACAGGTTTGTAGCAGCTCTCCATGACCTTCAGCTAGTTATCGCCTGATATAAATAGAAATTATGGGTTATTTGAAACTAAGATTCCATGTCACAAAATAATGTCCAATTTGAATAGGGCAAGAGTAACAGGGTTATCAGGAGGATAATTTAAATGAAGTAAGCATTAATTTATTAGAATAATGCGTATCATAATCTATACAGCGTATCATAATCTATACAGTAATCTTCGTTTACTTCCTCTAGGAAAAAAAAGTTTAAAACAATTTCTAAAAAGCAGTCTTCATATTCAGCCCTTGAGATATTCAGTACAATGGTCTGTAGGACTGTCACTTAATCCAGCATCTGAAGAGTGAATAACTTTGAAAGGGGAGAAATTATGAAGTAATAAAGGATATTTTTAGATTTGTTGTCAGAATTTCAGTAAAATACATTAATAAGACCCAAAATCAAAGATTGAGTTCCTAGATGATGAACACATTTGAAATATTTCCCGTACAGCTCATGCAGTTCTGTACTTCTGTACCCTTAGTCTCACTTTCTCTGCTGTGCTTACCCTGCTGCCAAGAGTGAATACCTTTAAGCAGACTCTAAAACTGAGCATAGGCTAATTTTTAGCCATTTACATGGCTACCAGGGAAATTCCCTGCTTGGTATCATCATGCAAATCATGTGCATCCTTGAGGGGTTTTATAGCCTTCTGGAGCACTGGTATTTCTGTTAACCTTGTAAAAACCTGAGCTCCTCGAGAGCAGAGTGATGGGCTGCTTATATTTCACTCACATGCCATTAACTTGTGACACAAGCCTGCCATTCAAAATGATTGATTGCTTCTGTGCTTTCTGCTGCTTTTCCTGTCCTTTCCTCTCACCACAGTACCGTCAGCGTGTCAGGACAAGGGTATATTACTATGCAGAAGAGTGCTCGCTGCCATCCCCACTGATTTCATCTTATAGACAGAATAGTACCATATGCGTGACTTAAAACCATCACAAATGACTGGCATGTATGATGACAGACAATATCGCCCTCTTACCGCTTCTGTGATATGTAAAACATGATAAATCTGATTTAACGGTGTGGGAAGCAATGTTTCAGAGTAACAACACATAAAAAAAACTTTGAACTATTAATTCCTTCAATATAACCACCCTATCACTCCCTTAGTAGACAACTTTGCATTTCTGTTATTGGTAAAATTAAGTCTATCTGCAGCTGTTATTGCACTGCATGTATTACTGGTGTAGACACATTCATACTGGGATATAGACTCTTCTTTAATAATTTCAGGCAAGTGTTAGACAATGGAAGTACAGCTTAATTCTAATATCATGCATTAAACTGTGGGAAAAAAGACCATGATGTTATAAAGTATAATTCCTGCATGTGGTGTCCTCAAAGAAGGACGCCACAAATGAGTATGTTTTAAGGGATACTCGTTAAAATGCCCAATGCTTATGTACATTAAATGGAACTATTCTTGAAGTTCAAAACAGGGATTATCAATAAGAAAATTTAAAGGAATTAAGCTTGTGTTAGATTGATATTCCCAAGCGTATCTAACATTTCCAATTAGCTTTCTGTTGTAATTCAGAGTGGTGGGGAAATTAGTTTTTTAATTTGCACGCAGATCTCAAATCTTTGAGAAGAGATTAAAAGATAGTTTTAATTTCATCATTTGCCAAACATTCTCAATATTTATGGAAGTTATGACTGCCTCTTAGAACTGAAGCCAGTATTATCAAAGAATATAAATGTTAACAATATGTTTAACTGAGAGATACACATAGTACTTGTTTTTCAACAAGCTCCAGTCAGTTTTACCACACAGAACAGATGAATTCACAGGTCTAGGAGTCCATTTCCTAATCCTAAAGCCCTGTGTCGCTGATAATCACCAGATGTTGTATTTTTACTAGGCTTCCTTTTACTGTAAGGAGATTTATCAACCTCTTAAATGTGTAATTCCTAGAATGAATATTGAGTCTCCAAGACCATCATGGGCCATAATGGTGTAATTTTTAATTAGCATTACAGAACAGAAGACTGCTTGCCATGGTGTTTGTAAGGCACCGCTGGCCTCCAGACCAGTTTGCAGGCCAGGCTGATCTTATTTGATACAGCTGCTATAAACCCTGGCATTTCAGCTACCTAGTGATGCTATTACTGGCTTAGTATTCCCTCTGATGACTTTAGTGGAAGTTTAATCAGGGCTTATATTGACTCTTAAAAGAAAAAAGTGAGAGAGATGATTCTCCAGAAAACAATCTCAAAAATTGTCTTATACATGGGATGTAAGGCAGACACCCATGTGCTTTCTGTTTTGATTCTCTTATCTTCATTAACCAGAAAAATAAAGCAAACAACATTCCCCTAACAAAAAAAAGCCAAGTATGGGAAAAATTCTTTCAATTATCGCAACAGAAGCACATAAAAATTTCACTCATGTTATCTGTGTCTCCACTATATAGCACTCTAAAATAAGGACCATTTAGAGAGAAATTTATAACTTACCTTATCAGAAGGTTTGAATGGATTTCCTTGTCCACTTATTCCACCACTGATACTAAAACCAAGGCCAGGATTCTTCTCTATTCTCACACAAAACTAGGTTAAAAAGATATGGCAAGATAGGTCAATGCCAATGTTAAAGCCTATCTAAACAATGGCATCTTCTTCTTATATATCCCTTTTCAAGATGAGTTGACCCTCTCAAAAGCTGTACTGCACAATACAGTAAAAGTCAGTAGAATATTGTTATAAACTGAAGTATTTTCATTATTTTAGCATGCTGCAAAGATACCGTAATATTCACAGTGCTGCATGTATTTTTGCATATATTTTAACATTTTATTTTCAGGGAGAAAAAAAACCCTTTAGACTTGTGAAAGAGCAGTTCACATTGGCCAAATTTTTCACTTAAACATTGGGATAAATCTGTCAGTGAGGCTTCATCTTGTGCACTTTTATTTTTCCAGAAGGTGTCACATGTGCAGCATCCCCAGGTGCTATGCTTGGGACAAACCCAAGGAGTAAGTCCTCTGAAGCTCAGAGATCTTCAGACCATTGTCAGTATCAGGGCCACAGCCCCAATAGCCTGCACTGAGCACCAACCACTTTTACAAGTGCCTTACTCCAGAAAATAGTGCTGAATCTTAGCTTTTAGTCAGGATGACTGTAAATGGATTGAGTAATTGAATATAAAATAAAAATGACTTCAGTGTAGCTTAATGACTACTCATTGAGCCAGTCTGAGCATGTACTCGAGCCACACAAGCAATTGCTTCTGAATCTCAATGCTATACTCAGGGACTTAATACAGGCAGCTACTTGCGTGGATCGTCTAACACTTTACACAAGAGAAAGGTTTACTAATGATTCTGAACCTTATTCTGCAAGTCAGGTGCCTCAAACAGTTATCGCAATCATTAAGGCCAAATATAATGGGGAGAGGACCACTTAATGAAGAAACTCATCAGCACCCGTTTTGTTAAGACTGGGGGCACTGGAGCTACAGCTGGCCCTTTGCAGGGCTAAACTGGAGCAGCCAGTGCAAATCTGAGAAGAACAGCGTCTTGCCAAATATGCTGCACTGTTAGCACTTAACTAGGTTTCTGGGGAATTGGCAGAAATTGCAAATTAATTTGGTATGACCCAGTGATGTCAGCTCTGTTCAGGAACTTCAGGGCCAAATTGTGTTGCTTGGTCAATCCAAGAAAAAAATGGTATCAGTCCCTGGTGCTGGGGAAGAGGACAGACCTGCTCGCCTGCCTCCAGCTCAGCCATGCTCCCCCATGCTGTCTGGCCCAGTTGCCCGCTGTTATTGCCCTAGGCTCCCTTTTCCTGCTGTATACAAGGCAGAAAAAAACCAGAAAGTTTTTGTCAAACTCTTATTTTATAGACACATTTTCTTACCTGCTCCTGATACGCATCTGTACTTCTCTGACCCTTGGTTTGGATTAAACATCGCCCTGTCTGAGGTGCTCGAGAGCTCTGCGAAGAGGGAATCTGAATAGGCAGCGGTGGCTGAAACTGCTGAATGGTGACTTTGTTCATGTTTCCTTCATACTGCTGCTCACGGCTCCGATGCTGTAGGCTTTGTGATCCCATTAAAGTCTGGATATGGCTACCTGCCTGTGGGTAACGTAACCCGTTAGGCCAGAAATTCAGGAAGCTGAAAAGAAGCAATTATTACAACTTACAGAGTCAAGTAAAAGCAAACCTCTTAAATCATATCAGAGGTTTGCCTTTTGACCACAGTTGGAAACAACCGTGATTAAAAGCAGCAAGGATATGGCCATTGCATTTAGTGACCCTAGGAGGTTTAAGGGAAATTGGCCGTATGCAGAATGTTTTATAAACAGAAAATATTTTTTTCCTCATGCCATGATATATGCTTCTGCTCAGAATGTTTTGTGAACTGAAAACATTTAATAAATTGAAGTAGGGTGGATTAGTCATCAGAGCACACTCTGAAGATACTGGAATGCGTTTTTTTCTGTGGATAGTTTGGAGTAAGATTTATACCACAAATACAGATATTGGCCAGTATTGTGCATTGTGTACGGAAAGCATATATCAGTTAAATTCTATGCCTTGTCCTAGGAACAAATGTGGCTTTTACAATATGTAACTAATCAAATTATCAAATTTCTATGATAATATCTACGGATTTGAAGCTCTAATATTTTCTACATATAAATGAAATACTGCATTTACATTGACTTGCCCTTTTGATATTTTCAGAAAAAAATGGATGACTGCTATCATCCCCTCCATCCCCATTGCCTTTCACGTTTGCAGCTGTGATCTAACAGGTGAGGTTTGCTTTCTGTATTCTGTTCTTGGCATGGTAAAGTTGCATACTTGCTTACTCTTCAATACACAGTCTCTGTTTAGGCACATGGATTACATAAATATTTGAGGCAAAACTTTGCAAAATAAATTCAGTTGAGACAATTTTATACTTTTCATATTTACAGGATTCAGATGTTGTTGCTTATAAATAATCACATGAACTTAGCCATAAGGGAACAAGCAAAATTCATGCTCCGTTGTATGATCAAATATTATTACCTCCACGAAATATCACACCGTTGCTACTGAGAGTTTTCAGATCATATGTACCCATCAACCAGTGCTATTATTTGAACAGCCTGAATGCGAAAGAGCATTACGACTGCATGTCTCAATTAGCTGCAAGTCTCTATGGACAAAACAGACCTACTTAAACAATGTTTCACATTAAGTTTACACCAGCCAACACCACAACCACGTCTCGTCATGAAGGCCTAATCCTCAGTACTACTGAACCTTTATGATCCTGCTGGAAGAGTCACCAATTGTGAGACTATATTTTAGGCAAGATTAAACTCAATACAGCAAAAGATCAAAACATTTCTTACCCGTTGGCCAATCATCTGGCCTCAGAAGTTATAGCAGCCAGGGCATTAGAATTAATTGCTTGTTGCCATAGCAAAAATACATCTTAATGGATTTCCAAGATTTGTCTGCAGAACACATCATTAATACAGATGCAGTTGGAACTACTTGTGTCACTGAACACAGAATCCCAGCAAGACACACAGTGACTGCGAGCAAAACTGATCTGCTCTGTCATATTTTTTTGCTAACTCCATTTGAAGAAAAGGAGTAGGTAGAGTACATGTCTGTCAGTTCTTTATTTTAGTATAAGAGGGATAGTCTCAAAGTGCATAATGACAGAGAAATCTCTTACTCCTTGTGCCCAAATCTTCAATCCCCAAACTCTTCTTAAAAAACAGCTCACCTGTGGACATGAAAGTGCTTAATAGACATTGACAAACTTACTCCAAGAATAGCCTGGTGAAGTCAGCCTGTACTGCAAACATCCCAGTTTAGAAGTCAGAGAGATCTTCAATTCAGCCAAGATCAGAAGAGAAGGAAAATGCTCAAGACAGACTTTTTAGTTATTTATTAACTCCCTCGTGGCAACAAGCTGTGCCCACAGTGGATTGCTGAATCTATGTCACCCTGCACTGTGGAGATACAAGGTGAGCAGGTGACCATGTGCAGCATGGTTCTCTACTTCATGTTGTGTCAGATAGTCATCACAACAAGATCCAAAAAAAGCAGAATCTCATAAATTCTGCTATTTGCCCCAGATATAATCCCATATCCACCACAGCAGTCCACAGCAAGTGCATTGTCTGCCTCAGAGGAAGATGTCTACTTCAAATACAAAAAAAAAATGGTGCTTCTTCACTGAAAAACCTCCAATCTTCTTTATCAGGTTAAAAGACCTCTGGATTGAACAGCAGATGCTGGAAATGAAACAGAAAGAGCCTCCAGCCTCTCAGTTGTGGCGAACAGAAATACTCCCAAGTCAGAAAGGGAGAGAAATGGTGACTCAGACACTTTTGTATGTCCCAGTTTTGAGGTAGCTGCCTTGCTCCAGTTCCATTGCATATGCTCCTTCCACATCCACCGAGACCATTACAGCGCACGCAGGGATCTCCGAGAGTTTGCATGGCTTCACCCTTCATGTGGGCTGCTGCGATCCTGCAGCAGAAGAGGCCAACTAACACAGTCCTACGCATCCCCAAATCTGTGCAGCTCATCCTCTTAGAGGGTCGTCACCCTGCACCCAGGTTGGCCAGCCTGATGTCTTGTTCATTTTCCACCTTCATTCTCACTCTTCAACCTCTCTTTTTCATAAGAGTGATTTCCAGGTTCCCTTTTGGTGATGCCCTGCCACACTTCTACCCCTTCCCTTTTTATGAAGGAGCAGCTAACTCAGAATACAACTGATTTAATCAGGCATGTAGCTGACTTGTTGACATGACAGAAAAAGTTGTCTTCCAGGAAGCATAAATACTGTAGTCTTTTAATTAATCAGTGGATTATTCAATTTGAAGATTAAAATATCCAACTTTTCCATAAGAGAAATAGCCCATAAATTATGGAATGATCGCATAAATGATCATACTTAAAATAAAATTAGCATTTGTCCTGGTTTCAGCAGGGATAGAGTTAATTTCCTTCCTAGTAGCTGGTACAGTGCTGTGTTTTGGATTTAGGATGGGAACAAAATTGATAAGGCACCGATGTTTTAGTTGTTGCTAGGTAGTGCTTACACTGGCCAAGAACTTTCTAGTTTCCCATGCTCTTCCAACTGAGAAGGCTGCAGATGCACAGGAAGCTGGGAGGGGGCACAGCCAAACTGACCAAAGGGACATTCCATACCATGTGACGTCATGCTCAGTACATAAACTGGGGGAAGCTGGCCGGGGGGCCGCTGCTTGGGGACTGGCTGGGCATCGGTCGGCGGGTGGTGAGCAATTGTACTGTGCATCACTTGCTTTGTGTGTTATTACTATTATCATATTATTATCATTATCATTTTATTTCAATTATTAAACTGTTTTTATCTCAACCCACAAGTTTTCTCACGTGCTTTTCCAATTCTCTCCCCCATCCCATCGGGAGGGGGGGGAGTGAGCGAGCGGCTGCGTGGTGCTTAGTTGCCAACCGAGGTTAAACCACGACAGCATTTAATCTGCATTCTGAACAGCAAAAAGGACAGAAACAACCACTAACACACCACATAATTATGTAGTGATTACTGTGTAGTATTCCCACCCTACCTAACATACATAAATAGCCACCACTACATGTATAGTAGCCTTCTATGTGAGGATAATGTGTCTATATATGTACTACAGTACACAGTCCATCCGTCTATAGTACACGCTC